CGCCCCCCCCCCCCCCTTTCCAAAGGGGGGGTTTTTTTTTTTTTTTTTTTTTTTTTTTGGTAAACGGCAAACAAAATAACGTAAAAAACTAAACAACAAATAAAAAACCAAACAACAAACAAACAATCCTAAATCATCATCATCATTAGATTTTTTTTTCATTTGTAATCGTAATCGGTGTGTAATGTGAATCCATGCCATCCATCCATCCATTCATCTAATAATCTCAATAATATGAATTGAACAACAACAACAACAAAAAAGCCGCATTTTTTCCTCGTTTCTTTCGATTTTTTTATTGAATGTGCATTTCAATTTTGGCAATTTTTCATCAGCAGCAACAAAAAACAAACAAACATTGAATGTTATTCGATTGATCGAATTATTGAAAATCTCTTTGGAACAGAAAACAAAAATTGCTCAACATTCGACATTCGAATTTTTTTTTGTTGAAACAATTATAAAGGCCCGAACAACCGGATTCATCAATTCTATTAATTTTTGTTTGTTTTATCGGTGTTTTTCATTTCATTTTTACCAAACCACATTTTACACGTTTCTCTTACTTTCTAGTCAAATCGATCGAAAAGAATTCTTTCTTTTTTTTCCGACAAATATCTCGGTTATTTTCATCACTAATTTTCATCATCAACTAACTTTCACCCGGTTCCAAATGGGAAGAAAAATCAATTCCTATTCAATTTTATTATTATCATTATTATTAATAACATATCATTCGAATAATGTTTGTTATGGACAACAACAACAACCAGAATCCGAAGATGATGAAACAATAATATCCAATAATATTGATAATAATAATGATCAATCATCTGAATCTGAATCCGAACAAATTGATTATGTAACACCACAAATTGATGAACAATATCTTTATGAATCATTTGATAATCAAGAAAAATTTCAACAACGTTGGCATAAATCTGTTGCACATAAAGCCGATTCATCTGATCTTAAATATGATGGTGAATGGGACCTAGTACGTACACAGGATCTACTTAAAGGTAAATTATTTTTAATTCGAAATATTTTTTTTCCTACTTCGAAGTTTTGATATTTGCGTTGTATATTGAGTAGATGCGAACAAACAAACAAAACAAAACATGCATTTTGTTGTTGTTGTAAAGACGCTAAAAATAGTGTTTTTGTTTTTTTGGCTTTGTTCCCGCAATCAACAGCCATTACATGATTTTAATGACGTGTTTTTTTTATTTCTTTTATTTTTCATTAAAATTCAATAGATGATTTAGCCCTTATAACGAAAAGTAAGGCCCGACATCATGCATATTCGGTAAAATTGGATAAAATTTATAAATTCAATTCGAAACCATTCATTTTACAATATGAAGCTCAATTTCGTAATGGACAAGAATGTGGTGGTGCTTATTTAAAATTATTGGCTGCACCATCCGGTAATTTAGAAGATTTAAATGATAAAACAAGATATTCAATAATGTTTGGTCCGGATAAATGTGGTAATGATATGAAATTACATTTTATTTTTAATCATATAAATCCACGTAATGGTACTATTACGGAAAAACATTGGTCAAAAGCAAATAGTGTTACTAATATGGATGAGGTTTGTTTGTATGATGATGATGATTAATGGATTTGAATCAGAATTTTCTTATCTTTTAATATTTTTCAATATTAAAAAAAAATAGGTATTCAAAGATAATCGTTGGCATCAATTTCGTTTAGAATTATATCCGGATAATACTTTTCAAGTTTCTGTTGATAAACATTATGCTCAAAAAGGTTCATTATTGGAAGATTTTAAACCACCTGTAAATCCACCAAAAACTATTGATGATCCAAATGATTCAAAACCAGAAGATTGGGATGAACGTGAAAAAATTCCGGATCCAGATGCAGGTAATTTTTATTGTTTGTTTTTCCATTGAATTTTTCATTGAATTTTTTTTTCACAGTGAAACCAGATGATTGGGATGAAAATGAACCAAGAAAAATTACCGATCCAAATGCTGTCAAACCAGATGATTGGAATGAAGATGAACCAGAAATGATATCGGATCCTGAAGCAAAAAAACCCGATGATTGGGATCAAGAAATGGATGGTGATTGGGAAGCACCATTAATACCGAATCCAAAATGTTCATCATTAGCCGGTTGTGGTAAATGGTCAGCACCATTAATTGATAATCCTAAATATAAAGGCAAATGGAAAGCACCAATGATTGCTAATCCTGCCTATAAAGGAAAATGGGTGCCTAAAAAAATACCAAATCCAGATTTTTATGAAGATCTTAATCCATTCAAAACAATGTCACCTATTGATGCTGGTAAGTTCTTTATAAAAAATTCATTTTCAAATAATATCTTTTTCTCTCCCTTACAATAGTTGCATTTGAATTATGGACAATTTCGGATAATATTGCCTTTGATAATATTTTAATTACTGATGATTTGGATATAGCCAATTATATATCATCATTAACTTATCAGATTAAAAAAGAAATAAGCGATGAAAAAACTGATAATATAATGGTAAAAGCAATGAAATATGCAAATAAAAATCCATGGATGTGGGCAGTTTATTTATTTGTAATCGGTATACCATTGGTATTATTTATTGCATTCTGTTGTGTATCACCGGTGAAAAAACCAGCTGAAACTGCTCAACAACAACAACAAGAACAGGAATATGATCCAGCATATAGTAAAAAAACTGATCAACCACAACCGGATTATGTAGATGAGGTAATCTTTTTGATTTGAAAATATTTCTAATTTTTTAAAAAATTCTGAAATTTTCGAACAACAGCCGCAAGCAACAACATCGATCAATAAAATTGATGAAGAGGAAGAGGAAGAAGACGATGACGAAGCAAATAATGATGGTGATGAACATCAACATGATGATGTCGATGATGAAGAAGAGGAAGAAGAAATTGAAGAAGATGAAGAACAAGAAGAAGATGATAATGAAGGTGATGATGAACCAGAACCTGAACCAGAAATAAAATTACGTTCATCACCACGTCAACGACGACCACGTAAAGAATGAGAATATGTGGATCCATGTGGCAAAGGAATGTTTGGTTTGGAGAAATTTTTTATTCTCCTGTTTTGGTCACACCAACTTTATATTGAAAAAAAAATACAGACATCATTTTTTTTCATATATATTTGTCAGTGGAATTGATTGATTTTTTTTCTGTTTTATTTTATCATCTTTTTCTCTCTGTATTTGTCTTTATCTTTTAGTATTTTACAATAAAAAAAATGAAATTTTTTTTAAAATTATGATTATGAAGTATGAAAAAAAAACGTTTGATTGATTGATTGATTGATTTGATTATGATTGATTGATCTGATCACCATCCTTGTGTTTGAAAATTTCGATTAACATTACGTTTGTTTGATTCGAATAATTTTCGTCGATATAATTCAATAATTGGCCATAATTTTTCCATTTCTTTTGAATTTGCCAAACGTATCAATCGATTATTATTATTATTATAATGACCATTTGATTGATCAGTAATCATTTTATGATTTGGTAGGATCGATGATCTACTAATATAATCGATTGATGGTGATATTTAATGATTAAAAATTTAATTTAAAAAAAAACAAATTTTATCATCATACCTTTCAATACATTCATCATTATCAGTACCATCCATATTGTTCTTTATACAAACAAATTGTTCACTAAAATGACCAATAGCCAATAGATTTAAAATGATTAATAAAAATTTGTTTCGAAACATAATCAAATATGAAATGCTTCGGTTGATTCGGTTGAGATGTGATGGTCAAAAATGATCGAATGAATTTATAAATTCGAATCAATTCGAAATAGTTTGGCTATTTATACCTTTTTTGTTATTCGGTTCCGTTCGAATGTTTGTTTTGTTTTGTTGATCGATCAACACAGACTACGGAAGTTTGTGATGACAATGTCCAAATTTTGTTTATTTTATCCACCACCATCATCAAAGAAATTAAACGAAATTTTTTGCTTATATAACATTGATCTTGAATGATTAGAATTGATGTGATGACAACGAATAATCGATTAATGGAATGTAAACAACGGCAAAGACGATCAATATCATCCGAAAGATAAACATTGATGAACAGATGTCCAAATTGTTGTTGCTATTTTAATCGAAGAAAAAAACGTTTTTTTAGATGTTTTGTTTGGTTTTCTGTCGTCTGGAATGATTGCTGACAACAAATTCAAGTCTGTTCATTCGATCATCATTAAAGATGGCTATATAATACACGATATTTGAATTCCTGGATCATCATCATTGCATTCTTGCATACGAATTTGCGCAGAAACCGATCTGAGTTCATTTTCGGTGAATATTATTCTTATTGTATATTGGTATTGTGATAAATTTGTGTGAATATATTTTTCAAGTTGAATAATGGATTGAAAATTGATCATCACCCAATTGAATTCTGTAAATATTCATTATCATCTGTCTGTCTGTCAACTAAGTGATACAAACCAAACCAAAAAAAAAAAATGGACATCCATTCGATATAAATTATTCAATCAAATCAAGCTTTCAATCTTTCAATCCCAAGAATTCATTCAATCAACAACAACAAAATGCATAAATTACAATGGCGAAATTTTTCCATCCTCATCATTATAATGATATTTTTATCCATATCAATTTTCCATATTCCGGTTATTCGATGCTATGAAAAAACGTAAGAATTATTGCTCAACAATGATAATGATAATGATAAAAAAGATTGTTTTTCTCCTTTTTTTTCAACCAAAATAATAGCATCCAAGATATTGCCAAAAAATTCGGTATACAAATGCTTAATATTGGTTATGAAAAAACTTGTTTTGCCAAAATAAGCGAGGTATATTTGTTGTGTTTGTTTGTGATTCATTGAATAATTTTTGATTTTTGAACACACACACAGAATTTCCAGAAACATCGTTCCGAAGTTAAACAAATTGATGCATCTAAATTAATGAATGATATGCGACAAGAATTGATACAAATGTTTAGTTTAAAACAAGAAGCAGCTGAAAGGATTGCAATAGAAACGGAAAAATTAGCCGATAAATATGCTTATCGTAAGTAAATTTTGAAAGAAAAATCAAATTAATCAATGTATTTGATTGATTGTGATTAGAGAAAAATGTCGACAATACTGTCAATTATTATAATGTTAAACGAATATATGATGATCGTTTTGGTGAACCAAATGTACCGGATCTTTATAATTATAAATCATTAGCCTTAAGTCATCATCCTAATTTTGAAGATTCAAAAGTTAATCTTCAACATAGCGCCATTCATGTGCCTATCAATGTTTATGAAGTTAGTGTGTTTTTGATATTATTTTTATGTTGAAAATTTATGGGAATTTTAATCTCTTTTTTTAATTTGCTAAAATCAGCAAGCTTCCGAAATACAAAATGAAATACAATGGACCGAAACATTAACTGAAACATTAACAAATAATCTTGCTTATGATTCATCACTTTCGTGGCAATTTTTTTGTTCAGAAAAAGGATTTTTACGTGAATATCCAGGTAATGACAATTGGATTTTTTTTTACTGAAAAAAATTTCATTTTTTTTCATCCTCAATACTAGCATTTCAATGGAAAATTGCCGGTGATTCTACAACAAGATCACCCGATCTTTATGATTGTCGTATGCGTCAATGGTATATACAAGCGGCTGCATCACCAAAAGATATTGTTGTTTTATTGGATACAAGTGGATCGATGACTGGTCTACGAAAAAATATTGCCCAAAATGTTGTGTTCAATATTCTTGATACACTTACCGAGGATGATTTTGTTCAAGTTTTAAAGGTATGATGGAAATTTTAACTTTTTCTTTTGATTAACATTTCGATTATCAATGTCTATATTTAGTTTACAAACGAAATAAAATATGTTGGCAAATGTTTTGATCGTATGGTACAGGCTACTAAACGAAATATTCGGGTAAGAAAATCATTAATAAGGATTCAGATTTTAATTAAAATTTTTTTTCAAACAAAACAAGCAAATGAAAATTCAATTGGAAGGTTTCAAAACATCGGATATAGCTAATTTTACTCTGGGTTTTATCGAAGCTTTCAAAGTTTTGAATAATGTATGTGATTTTTTTGAGAATTTCAATTTGTTAATCTTTTGTTTTTGTTTGAAAGTTTGAAAAACAGAAAAAAGGTGCTCAATGTAATCAAGCGGTAATGTTGATAACGGATGGTGCACCCGAAACATTTGAACATGTTTTCCTCAAATACAATCATAATTCGAAAATTCGTGTATTTACCTATGTAATTGGACGTGAAGTTACACAGATACAGGAAGTATATTGGATGGCATGTAATAATCGTGGATTTTATGCACAAGTTGCAAATCTTGCCGAAGTTCGTGAACAAGTTCAACAATATATTCCAGTTATGAGTCGACCGATAGTATTATCAGCTAAACGGATTTTTACATGGACACCTGTTTATGCACCAGTTTCGGTAATTATTTTTAAAAATCCGGGAAAATATTTATTAATTGAGTATTTTTTTCAACAGGAAATTCAACTAACCGATTGGATATGGGAAGAAAGAGGTAATTAAAATTTAAAAATTCAAAAATGGAATTTGTTTTTTCTAAAAAAATTTTTTTGTACAAATAGTAAAAGCAATGAAAATGAAATTTCTTAAACAAATGCAACAACAATCGATACCGATACTCGAAGAAGAAGATGATGATGATGTAGAGAAAAAAGTGAATGAAACTTATGTTACCGAAGTAATTGTTGATGAAGATCTTCCATTATCAGCGGCAGCAGCATCACATTTACCGAAAACCGTCAATAACATCCATATGGATAATATTGTTGATATTGATGTTCTTCGTTTAAGACGTTCAAATATTGAACATGAAATGGCAAGATTACCCGAAAGAAAAAAGGTTAATTTAATGAATGTATTGAAATACTATTGAAATTTTAATGGATTTAATTTTTTTTATTACATAGAAAATACCATTACGAGTAACATTATCGACTCCTGTGTTCAATCATCGTAAATATATTGTAAGTGTAAATATCATATTTTTATCTATTATTCAACATCTTTATTTCATCATATTATAGAATATTACACGAAAAATTTTGGTTAAAAATGTTTACAAAGATTCGGATCCAGAACCGGTAAATTCCTGTTTAATTTCAATGATATTTCTTTTGATGATGTTAATTTCTATTTATCATTTTTTGTTGTTGTTGATCAGATACGTATCGCTCAACTACATGGTGTAGCCGGTATTGATGTTCCGATACGTGAAATTGAAAAAACTGCTTCTTCTTATCAGGTATTTTTTTTTGTTGATGACTGATGTGATGAAATGATTACTTAAGAAAATTTTTCCTAAAAGCTCGGTGTTAATGGATATTCATTCATGTTGACCAACAATGGCAAAGTACTTTATCATCCGGATTTTCGACCAATCGTATGTTGATTATATAATATTTTATCCATTATTATTAACAACCATTATTCTTTTATAGTTTCAAGATATGCTGAAACCATATTATACATCGATTGATTTGAATGAAGTTGAAATTTCCAATCAAACATCCGAATTAAGGGTAATAAAAATTTCTTCAATATTTACATACATTTTTATAATTGGAATTTTTTCAAAAAAATATTTTTATTATAGTGGATGGATCCGATCATAAATACCGTCCGAAATGAAATGATTGAAGGAATTATAGGCCATCAAAAAATATTCATAAAAACACATCTGGATTATATGGTTTGAATGGATGATAAAATGATAGAAATCCTAAATTAACCCGTTGGTTTTTCCTTTGGTTACAGAAACGACCAGTGTTCAAATTGCAACATTATTTTTATGGAAAAATCGATAATACACCATTTAGTTTTGCAATTGTTTTGCCCGAACCATATGGTTCTTATCGATTTAAAGGTCAAATCGATCTAAAAAGTGAATCAAAACGAGAAAATTTTACTAGATTTTTCGAAGGAAATAATTGGCGTATTCATCCGGATTGGATTTATTGTGAAAATCCACATAAACTATCCGGAATTGTGCCTCAAACACCGGAAGATGCTATATTACAATTTCTTAATTATGATCTAGCTACGAATTCATTTGTATTTAAAACTTCTAAAACTCCAATGCCACGTCGTTATGATAATGTTACATGTAAGTTCACTCAAAGTCTATTTTGATCGATTGATTAAAGTTTTGCAAAAAAACTAAATAGGTGACAAGGATCTAATTCAAAGTTTAATATTTGATGCCAAAATGACACATACATTTGAAGAATGTAGTAAATTTAGTTTACAATTTAATCAACAAGAGTAAGTCAAAAAATTTTAATTGTGGACAAGTATTTTCATTTTTACTTGTTTTGTTCTATAGTCAAAAAACCATCGATATTGCCAGCGTATTTGTATCGACAAGAAGTGGAATAACAAGATTCAAAACTGTTGATGATAATTATATTGATAATAAAACGGATAATGATCTATTTACTCGATCAATCGATGAAGTTTATTATCGTAGAGCTGTCGATTTTTATTATAATGATAGTAAAGCATTTGTATATTCAATACCGTTTGAAGCCGGTTATAAAGAACCAAATTTTTTGGTCACTTCTAGTCATGCTATATTTGTTGGTAGCGGTAAAATGAGTGCACCGGGTATGATTCATTTTCTTATCGTTTCAAAATACTAATTTTTGATTCTCCCCCCCAAAAAAAACAGTGGCTGTTGTCGGAGTACAATATAATTATTCATCATTTTATTCAACATTTTTCAAAATTGCCGATCATTATAAATTGAATTGTTTGTCGGATGAAATCAATTGTTTTGTATTGGATAATAATGGATTCATTATTATCAGTGATATTTATAAACATGCTGGACTTTTTCTCAGTGAAATTAATGATGATCTATTCCAGAATATGGTTCGTGAACGAATATATAGACGAATAAAACTATTTGATTATCAAGCTATCTGTATTCGAACAACACCGTTTTCAACATCAACGTCGAATTGGCTTCAAACACCATGGAATCATTTTAGACAAATTCTTTCCTGGTTTGCAACCAATCTTATCACCTATTTTACATTATTATTCAACAACTATTCATTTGCTTTGGATAACCATATAGCGATGAGTATGGAGGAGACGGATTACGAAAGTAAGTCTAGCATAACTTAATGTTTCATTAGCTCATTTCTGATTCTTTCCATATATATAGCCGATTCATTCGATATAAAATTCAACAAAAGTAATCCAAAACCATGCGATAAAGAACTAAGTCTATATGAATTGATTAGCTTTAGTAATCAAACGCGTAAATATTCCTATACATGTGAGCCAGGCATATGTACAAGGTATGTTGTTTCATCATTCATTTAAATGGATATTGATCGTTTTTTACATACATTTTCAAAAACAGAACATATTATGTACAAAATATTCCACATTCAAATCTTATTCTGTTGGTTCTTTTGAAAACATGTCATTGTTTTGAAAAATCAGTTCGTTTTGAACCGAGAGACATTGATGATCTTACTGAAGATGAATCCTGCAAAACGTTTCGTGCGGAACAATTTCGTAAAGGACCAGATGTATGTTACAAAGAACATGAACAGGTATGTTTGAAATGTTTAGCTTTTTTCAAACTCAACTTTGATTCTGACTTTTGTTTCTTATAGGAAGAAGAAATTAAATATTGTGGTAAAGCTACAATGTTACAACAATCATTTGTATTGAATTTATTGTTGATTTTCCCATTGTTTTTCCGGCATTTATTATTGCCAGAATTGTATTTATTTTGATCATCATCACTTGTTTTGATTTAGTTTCAGGTGTGGTTCTTAAAAATGTTGTTTATATTGAGTGATTTCTTAATAATAATAATAATACAAATTATACATTAAAAAAACAAAAATCCATAAAGAGAAAATATCATACAAAATGTCACAATCAATGTGTAAATATATTTATAATGCACTTTCGTCGAATCGATGACATTTCAATGGTGGTGTAACGAATCGTACTTGCGGTAAGCTTCCATGTATTGTCGATGATTTTAGCTGATAAATCATTTGATCGGTTCGATTTGTACGATTATGACATAATTTTGGTTCTGAATAACTATTTGACATTAGAAAATTTGTTTCTTCAATGTTTGAAATTTGATTCGAAGAATTTTCACCACTAGATTCATTGAATGAAATCAATTCGGGTTGAGCTACTGATGCTTTTTCTCTCATAGTCATTGTTGTTGTTGCTGTTGTTGTCGTTGGTGATGGTGTCCGATTATTCGATGATTTAGTCGGAAATAAATCCGGTCCATTATCAGATTCATTATCAAATTGATCCATATAAAGAAGACTTTGACTATTGGCTAATAATTCCATTTCATTTGATATTGATAGCAATTCTTTTGCTTCTTGTTTGGAAAAAAAGGATTTATCGATATTCGTTTGATTAATTTGTTTCTCATTACAACAACACATACATGGTATAGGTTCAGATTGATCGATGCTTGTTTTTTCATTCTTCATTAATTTATATGTTTGTTGTTGTTGTTGTTTTTCGAGTCTGGTATTTTGTTTGATCGTTTCATTCAATTCAAGCAATAAAGCTGCTATTCTATCCAATCCTTGTCCCATTTGACATTCAATTCTATCCATACGATTACATAATTGTTCTAATTTTGAATCAGTTTTTTGTTGTAAACTATGAAAGCTATGATGTCGAAAACAAGCATCATCAGCGGAATGGCCAGTGGCGATAGTGTTGATGATGGCGGCAGGAGCGTTCGTTATTAATGAACCATCCCGTTGGCTATTTGCTGATGGTGGGGGTGGCGGTGGTTTTGGATGATCCAAACTTAAGGCCGATAATTTATTAAGCTCGGTCATATTGGCAACTGATTTGAGGTAGTTTTTCTGGAATGGTTTCTGTAGATTACAACTGTTTGTAATTGATAATGTTCCTAATTGATAAAATCGCAAATGGAAATTTAAAAAAAAAATTAAAATTCAGAAAAAAAACAATTAAAGTTTTGTTGCATTTTTTTTCAAATTACCAAAAGTCAAATCAGTAACACTGTGTTTCAATTGGTCAAGCATCCCTGATCAAAATGAAATTATTATATAGTAATTTATTTTAAAAAGTTTAGTTTCATTTCAAACAAACAAAATAATAATAATAATTTTACCTGTTAATGAATTTCCTTCCTGTTGTTGTTGTTTGCATTTAGCTTTTGGAAAATTATAATTAGCCGGTGTAACATCTAAGCCGGCTTTTTCCGGACTAAATTCTAATATACCTATACCGGGAGCTGAAACACCCGTAAATTTTCGTTGAAATTGTCGTAAACATTCACTTGTTTCATCATAATCACCAGTAATTGGATCGATAATAATTTTACTTGAAAAATCTTCATCAATTTCGTTGGAATTTTGCATTGAATCAAAACAATTTAATACTTTACAATCGGTTACTGTTGCTTTACGATCCAACATACTATTAACACCTAATTGATTTTCATCTCTTAGATTAAAATTTATATTTAAATTTTGATTAAATGATTCAACAAATTCTGGATACATTTCTAAAACTTGTAAAAGATCTGAACGAGATATTTTATGCAAATCACAGTATGTTAATGCACGAACATCACATTTTGATTTACCCATTGTGGGTGTTTGTAATGGATTTTCACCAAATATATCTTCTTTGCCTATTACAAAATGAAAAAAATATCAAATGAAAATCATCAACATTATTATAAAAGAAAAAGACATACCTAATGTTTGAACAACAACATCATCGATAAGAATTTCGATTGTACCTCTTGCAATAAAATAAAGTGCAACAAGAACATCGCCTTTATGAACTAATGTATCGCCTGGTGGAGCGTGTGTAGTTTTAAACTAAAAGATTTTATAAAAAGAAAATTTTAATGATGAATATTGATCACCAAGACATATTGTGACTTACTCGCATAGAAAAAGCTCGTAAACAACCTTGTGAAGCATCTGATAATTATCAATTTAAAGATATAAATTAATAACCAAAGGATAAATACGAAATACCTTTAAATGCGGCACAATTTTGTAATAGATTACGATTTAAATGTAGACAAATATCAGCTTGAAGAAATTCAGGAAAACCTTTCAACACCATATTCATATCGATACCATTTGAATAAGTCCATGCATGTTGAAAATATTCTTCTAAACGTTTACGTAATGGATTAGGTATCTGATGAAAACGTATAAATTCTCTAACACGTAATAATTGTGTATGATAACGTGCAGTTCCAGAATAAAGACGTTGAATAATGGCCGAAACATTACCAAATATTGATGCATACATTAATGCTACAATATTCGTGATTGACATTGAATAAATTAAGGGGGGATGATTATCAACAAACAAAATACAAACTTACAGCCACAAAGCATAACTAATATACAGAAAATTTTTTCCGTATTAGTTGTTGGTGAAACATTACCAAAACCAACCGATGTTAATGATGAAAATGTAAAATATAATGATGTAATATAACGTGATTTGATCGAAGGACCACCCGAACCATCTGGATCTATATTTTTTTATATTGTTCAATACAAACAAACAAACAAAATCAATCAATCAATCAAATCAATCAGTGAAATGGACATTCAATAATTATTTACTATAAAATTGATATGTAGCATTAGCTAAATGATCAAGCCAGCCAATTTTACGTTGTAACGTTGGACGTTCAGCATTACCGATTGCATACCTGTGTGTGTGTGTAGAGAAAGAGAGAGATTAAAATGTTTGAATTGAAATAATAAAACAAAAACAATTACCATATACATGCTAACCAATGTGCAACCTATTAGAATTTTGGCGTGGGGGAATGGTGGTGAAAGAGGCAAATTATTATTATTATTATTAGTTTGATAGATTTGAAATTGAGATTTTCATTTCATTTTTTTTCAATTTACCAATGCAAATCCGGCAACTAATAATATCAAAACAGCTGCACCATATTCTGAATAGCGATCAATTTTTCTTGCAACACGAACTAAACGTAATAATCGTGCCGTTTTAAGCAATCCAATCAATGTTGTTGTCTTTTTTTGTTTGAAAGGAAGGAAACAGAAAAAGAAAAATAATAACCAAATAAGAAACAGGAAATATTCATTTGATTCTTAAAATGTTTTTGCTTATTTACTTCATCAGTTTGTGAACCAAATAATAATAGATCGAATGGTATGGCAGCAACCAGATCGATTATAAACCAACCTTTTAGATAATGTATGGCAATTTTACCTGGATGTATAACCAGCTAAATAAATGGAGGGAAAAAATAAATGTTTCAATCCATCATCAATAATCATGATTATTACTACATAATGATGATGATTATAATGATCATCATCATCAATTAAATGCAATAATCATTCGATTATTACATCTTGTTTCATCATAATCATCGAAACAAAAATCCAAATATTGTATAAGTAATGCATGCGCGTGAATTGAATTTAAATGTTAGGAAAAAAAACCGAAAAAAATCATCATTATCCAAAAGAAGAAAAATCTATTTCTACCTTTGGATTTTGACTATACAGATCTATTCAAAAAAAAATTACTGTCAATGAATCGAAAATCATTTTTTTTTTTGGTTAATATCATTGATTCTGTGTTTGGAAAAAAAACTGTAATCATATAATATTAAAAATAACTACATATGAAATATTCAGGCATTATTATATATGTGAAACAAGAATAACAATGATTATTATTACGAATCTGTTTTAGTAATTTTCCTATCCTTGCTTGTCATATATTCTCTTCTTCTTCTTGTTGTTTTTGTTGTTTATGATTAAAGTTAAGAGACAAAAACCCGTTGAATATAATCAACAACAAAAAAAAACCGAAAAAAAGGGGGAAGAAAAAAAACATGAAACACCAACCAACCAACCACCATCATCATCAATTGACACGCCTAATCTTGAAAATAAAAATGAAACACAATAGTTTTTGGTTTGGTTTTGGGTTGTTTATATGTATCGGTTATGGCAATTTCGGGTATTTTTTCTTCTCTTGCGACTACACACGCCAACAGAGAATTTCAAATGGCTTCAACAACAGAAATGAGGCCGAATATGAATGTTTGGTTGAAATAATAATAATAATCTGATCGGGTCACTTTTTTTTCGGACAGAAAACAGAAAAAAAACAATAATTTATAACCGAATCTCGGTATTTTGTTGAATAGAATGATGATGAATATTTTTTTTCGTTGAATAATTAATAAGACATTTTTTTTTGGTTTCTGGCTTTGGACAGGACAATAAATTCTTTAAACCAAAAAATTCTGGAAAAAAAGAATACAGAAACAAAATGACAACGAATGTGTGTGTGTGTGATTAGTATTCCAATCAAATTGTCAATCACACACACATATAGAGATAATGATAATGGTCGTTTTTTTTTGGTTTTTGAATGATGACCAACTACTACTACCTACCTACCTACCTACTAACTAATCATTCATTTATTCATCGATGGCCATTCATTCATTCATTAGAATAGCTAAAACCTAATGACTAATTAAGCTTTTAAAAAGTAAAAAGTAATCATTTCATCATTATCATTATTTTAGGTTTATTATATAATTATGATGACCAATGATTATTATTGATGATAAAATGGATACAAACTATTTATATATATTACATTACAACAAAAAAAACTAACCTCATCTTTTTTATTAATATATGTTGTACGAAAATTGATTAATATATCGATTATAAACATAACATCAACAAATAGATCGATAACCATTAATGAATTTGATCCATATGAATCGGAATTTAATGTATGATGATGATTATGATGATTATCTATAAATGAAAATACAAACAACGAAACGAAATTGATTAAAGAAGGGAGAAGATGAAGGGTTATGAAAATTACAATAACAATAAACATACGTGAATTGGCAATATTTTCATTGAGCAAAAATGCAGCCGAATATGGTGTAAAAATGGCCGTATAAATAACTAATATTAATATAATCCAATCCCATATTGCTTTGAATGGTGAATAATGTAAAACAGTAAGACGTCTATATTTAAAATGTTTAATAGCATCACTTTTTTCATCTTCACTTAATAATGTACGTGATTCATATTTATAATCGGGTAAATCGGTTCCCAATGATAATACCTGTTAAAATTTGGATTGATTGAAATGATTAAATGATGGAATTTAGCAAATTCTGATCAGATCAGAATTAGATAAACATTATTATTACCTGCGGTATAAGACTAAAACGATGACGACTTTCTTTATAATAATCTTTATCCGAACTACGACGTGAATCACGACGTGAACGTGGTGCTGTTGCACAAGTACTCCTTATTTCACCATTCGAATAAATTGATGATGTTATTGATGATTGTTGTTTTGCCCATTGTTGTTGTATAATTTTTCTTTGTAATGATGTTGATGGTGGTGTTGATGTTGATTCAAATGAATTGTTTGTTGTTGATAGCCAAATATTTTGTAAATTACCCGATGAATTTGCTGAATATTGTTGTTGCTGAGTTTGTTGTTGTTGATAATTATTTGTCGATAATGGTACATCAACAGCTTGTTGTCGATGTATTCTTGGTGTATTATTTGAATTATTTGTAGATGATGATGATGTTGTTGGTGGACTTAATTGTGATGATGGTGATACTTTAATACTAATATCAATATTTGTATTATTATCCAATGATGATGATTGTTGTTGTTGTCGATTCATATGATAATTATGTTGTTGATTTGCTAAACGTTCTTTATATTCATTCTCCACTGAGGAGATTTGTAATGACATTTTTCTAGTTGTTGATGATGCTTCGAATGATACATTTAAGAATGTTTTGAAACAAATTTTTTCTGATTTGGAAGTTCAGTTGCAGGAATTTTAAGAATTTTCTTAAACGGTGACCAACCACCAAAACATCAAACAACAACAACAAAAATTCAAATGATGATAATAACCACAAACACCATCAACAACAACAACAACCACAAAAAAAAACAGGTCAGTTACATAATGATAATCAACAAAGATTGCAGGAAAAATAATAATAATAATAAATTATCACAACAAACAGAGAAAATATGAGCAATTATTTCATTTATCGTAACACAGGATTGCAATTGAAAAACCAAAAAACTAAATCAAAGACATTTATCATTGTTGTTGCTGTTGCTGCTGCTGATAATGAACGAATGACGGAAATTAACAAAACGGGAATTATTATTATAAAAAAACGATGATAACGATTTTTATAAATAATTTAAAAACAATTCGAACAACAACGAACAAACAATTCGAACGAACGAACGAACGAACAAAAAAAACCTCGACTGTAATAACAATATTGAATCAAATTATGTCGACATAGTCGGTTTTTTTTGTTGTTGTTGTTGTTGTTTGTTATTGTTCGATTATGTAGGAAATTCCTGTTCGATCATTCGAAAAAACCAAAACTGGTAAAAAAATATTACCCGATTCTCGGTTAATTTTTTTTCAACCAGAATATACTGCCGCTATTCATTCATACCAGAATGAAGAAGAAGAAGAAATTTATTGACATTATTTGGTGAAAATTTTTTTTTTTTTTTCATTCGAATTTTCGTGGAAACCCAAAAGTCAGCGAAGAAGACGACGACGACGACTAGAAATGAAAAACCGACCAACAAAACTATACGACCATCATCATCATCATCGGAATCATCAGATCCATATACCACCAGATATACCAAACGCCAAGCTCCAGATACCAATACAATATATATACTGGTCCACCTGACTAAACTAAACTAAAGTGTGGCTTTCTGGGTTAAAAACTTGTGGCAAAAAAAAAAGATTCGATCATGATTTTTATGGTGGTTTCATTTCACATTGTTTTGTTTTGTTTTATTTCAACTGATCATCATCATCAACGATAGTCATCATATACGCAGGTTTTTTTTTGAAAGAAAAATACCTGGCTGGCTGGCTGGCAGAATATTCATGATTTAAACTAGTGAAAAAAATCCGTTAATGAATTGGAACCTACACATAACCAAACCGAACCAGTCAACTAACCAAACCAACCAGACAGTCAAATGAAACAACAAAAGAATCGAATAAACAACAAAGAAAAAAATTGTTGTCATTTTGTTGTTGTTGTCATTTTTTTTGCCCCCAATTCCTATTAGTGAATCTTTTTTGTTTCGCTCTCCCTCGTTTTCGATTATTACAGAATGGGGGCAAGAATGATTTTTTTTGTTGTTTAATATCATTGAAGCGCACCAACACACCTGGTTATATTGGTTAACTATAACCCGGTTGTCACCCAGATTCACTTTATTTTTATTTTTATTTTTATTTTTTGATTTTTTCTTTTTCGTCAGGGTAATCAAAATGATTAGTAAAAGAAATAAATTCAGGTAATTTTTTTTTCACTACTCAAATCATTTGGCGTCATCTAATGATGAACGATTTAAACAATCGAATGAATCATTGAAACGTTCGAATATCGTTTCCAAAATCGATAGTGTAATAATCGATATTTTACACAAGGAAATCTTATCATTCGAAAATTTATCATTTAAAAAAAATAAGTCAATTTTGAGAAAAAACTTTATTTATTTCCGTAAAATTTTTTTTAAAAAAAGTAAAAAAATAGTAAGTAACCATAGTAATAATGATAATGATGATTTTTTTAGGGGGGAAATGTTTTTGTCTCCTTTTTTTCAGTGTAATCATTTTGTTCCAAATTTTTCTGTTTTTAGGTTACCATTATTTCGTCATCCATTACCTCGACCAAAAAATAAAATACGGTGATAATTAACTTGAAGAAGAACAATTTTCGTTTGCCTGTTTTTTTTGTTTTGTTTTAAATCAATCCATAACGAATCAATTTTTGTGATTGTCCATTACCACCACGTATTTCTTTTATTCGTTTACAATGACGAAGACATATCAATACTTTACGTAATGTTGAATCATTTTTCATTTCAGTCAGTTCTTTAATATCGTTGATTGTAACAAAATAGATGCCTTGGTTTTTTTTGGTAAACGAATATGAAAAGAAAACATATTTTACAAATAAAATTTACAAAAAAAAAAAATAAGTAAATCTACCTTTAGTATCAGCATTTTCCTGCGATTTATATTGTTGATAACGTTTATAATCACTTTCTTTTGTTGATTGTATATCAAATTTTTTTATAAATTGATATTTTGCATAAATTGAATGATTAAATGCATCAATCGATTCATTTAATGTTGATAATGTTAAACGACTTAACATATATTTTGGTATTGAATTATATTCCGATTGATTGAGATGTTCCATCAATGGAAATGGTGAATTTGATGATGATGATGATGAATTGATGGTTGTCGATGTCGTTGCTGATGATGGTTTTGATTTCGATTCAATTTCTTTTGGTGGTTCACGATTTTGATTTGATTTTGATGTTTTTGTTGTTACATTTGTTTTACGTATTTTTTTCGTATCCATATTTGTATAGGTTATATTTCGGGTAATCGATTTTTGATTATCCGTTTGTTTTTCTTTAAAAACCAAGGGAAAAAAATCATTATTCCAAAGCGAGTGATTCAAAAATCCAGAAAAACTTACCCGTTAAATTGGCCATCGGTAAATTCGCTTCAATATGATCAATATGATCTTCTAATAATTGTAAAAGATTATCACAACGTTTTGTTTGTATTTCAAATTCATTTTCAGCTTCAATCAAACATTGATCAATTGAATGCAACAAATATTGTATACTGCCAATATTAACATTCATTTCAATACATTCATTACGATCTTTTTGATAATAAACATTTAACATTGCTAATTTTGATGTAGCATTGGAAATTTTTTGATCAAAATATGAAAATAATTCATTCAAATCTGGTGAATCCATTTTTTATTTTGAAAAATTTCAAAATAAAAAAATTTTTGAAAAAAAGAGCGAAAAACAAACGATTTTTTTTTTCTACAGTCGTCCCTCGTACAACGCGGTTTTGTCGTTCCGCGTAGTATCGAAACCGCGTTGTACGAAATGAATGTAAAATAGAAGAAATGGCTCGTGTAGTATCGAAACCGTGTTCCGCGTAGTATCGAAACCGTGTTGTACGAGACCTACAAATAGTAGAAATATGGAAATTTGTACCGTGTTATATCGAGACCAAGGCATAAGACATAATTTTTTTTAATTTAATTATTTTGCGAATTCGATTTTTCAAAACCGCGTTGTATCGAAACCCTGACCGTGTTGTACGAGGGAAAACTGTATAATTTCGCAATTCTAGAACCGCGTTCTATCGAAACCGCGTTGTTCAAGTACCGCGTTGTACGAGGGACGACTGTATTCGAACAAACCGTTCATAAAACACGTTACGTAATTTTTTTTTGAAACAAAAAAAAAAAGTATCGTTCCAGATTCATAGATGTCGCACCGTGGCTGTTTGTTTCTCTTTGTTTTCGAACGACCATTTCGAACGTCAAACTTTGAACGATCCGATGGATGTGATGGATGATAATTAATCATTTTGGAAAAACGAAAAATGGTAATTTTCTCGAAATTTTAAACGATGTTACGACGTAATAATGACTGAAAGCCAAGAAGAAGAAGAAGAAGAAAATTACATTTTCATATTTCTGAAGACTTTTTTTGGCTCGACGAAACTAACGAACAAGAAAAAAATTTGTTGAAAAAATATTAATTGAAATATTATCCCTGACCATTATCATCATTATCATCATGTTGAGGTTCGTGTTTTGTTTTTGTTTCGGGGGATGTTATTTGAGCTAATTAATTAATTTTTTTCTTTCGTTTTTACATCGTTTTTCTACATCGCTCGTTTGTTGTTGTTTCGTTCGTTCGTTAATTATTATTATTCTAATAATAATGATATGTGAAAATGATTCATCAAGACCATGATAGACAGGCAACCAACAACAACAGAAAAAATGATGAATTTTTTCATTTTTGGCAAACCCCGACAAACGAAACCTGATCTTTATGTTTTTTCTTTCCAATTCATTCTTTACGAACGAAAACTGCATTGAATGCTGATTTGAACGAAGAAAAAAAAAATAATTATGATTAGACAAAAAAGACCGAACCGTATTATCATGATGATGATGATCATCATCAATCCTGACATCTTTGATGGACATTCAGTTATTCATCCTTGTTTTTTTTTTGATTATTTTCTCTTGTGAATTTTTTTTATCATCCACATTCTTTTTCTCTCCCCCATCTTAATGTGTTTGTTGTTTCGTTTAATTGCAGCCGATAATTTGCTATACAAATTCCGAATGTTGATTATGTTGTCCGAATCCGAATGTTGATTATGTTGTTTACCGAAAGTGTTGAAGTGATTTTTCAATTTTTTTTTAAACTTCAATCATCTTTACCAAATTCAATCAGTCAATTTATATTCAAGTTAATCGATTGATCGATCAATTGATTCTAATCATCATCATCATCATAATCATCGTGTTACATGATAACAAGTGGTAAATTAACCTTGATCTTTTAATTTTTTTTTTGAAAGAATGTTTATTATTATTATTATTATGTGGAAAGTTTCTAAAAAATGATTAATTAGAATCAAGTTTCGTTTCTTCTTCTTTTTAAATCCACCGAATAATCACCATTGTGAATAAATAATGACTATGATTATAAGATGATAAAGGTATGTTTGTAATGAATGAGATACACACACATACAGAGAAAAAAACACCTTTTTAAAAAGCTGCTGGTGCTGGCTGCTGCTGTTTCACAGCAGCTAATGGTTCGGAAAATCTCTTTTGCTTTCTATAGACAAATTGATGATGATTATTATCCGTTGATTATGATGATTATTATGAATTGGCCAACAAACAGAAAATTATTATCAATTTCTCTCTCTCTCTCTTAATCATCATCATTAAATGTGAATGGATAAATAGCCTATAATCATCATCATCATCATCATCATCATCATCATGAAAGATTATCTCCATCCAAACAACAACATTGTTTTTCTATAGTCAAAAATACTGGCCAATTATATTTATGATGATATATATTTAACTTGTATTTCAAATGGTAGTTTTTTTTCTATTCGAAACTCATTATAATTTCTGAAAAAAATATCTTCTTTTCTTTTTTTTTGTGCAAGTGTCGACGACAACAAACGATTCACCTCGAATAACAACAACAACATTCATTTACTATTTAGTTTCTAGTTAGGTGTTTTAATCATCATAATCATCAGTAGAATAGGATAGGATAGGTATGATAAACGTTATAATTTATTCTTCAACAACAACAACAACACATGTTTCTCTTGTTTTTCAAAATTAATGTCGTCGGTATACGAGAATATATGATACATAACATAACATAATATCTAAATAACATAACAACCATCACCATCACCACCAACAATAATTTTTGCCACTTATGTAAAATGATTCGGTGTATTTTGGTTGTTGTTGTTGTTGATGATGATGATCATCATCATGATGATTATTTTCACAGACATTTTTTTTGATATACCGTGTGTGTGTGTTTGTTTGTGCGAATCCATTATTATCATTTAGGAATTTGTATTTTGAAAAATGAATCATAATGCTGTATGATGATGATGATAGTGGCCATCATTTAATAATAATGATGATGATGATGATGATAAAGATGAAACTTGAATTCATTCATTCAATTCAATCAATGATGGTGGTGGTAGTTTATGTTGGTGATGACTTTGGCCATTTGACCATGGTAATCGTGTTGGCTTTTCACACACCGACCAACCAACCAACCAAACAAACAGCTTTTTCAAAAAAAGCCGAAAACAATTATGCAAATTTACAATATCTCTCTCTTTTCTTGGCTGTTGTTTTCACCTTTTTTTCAAGATAATGATGTTTTCATTTTTTTTTCTTTACTTCTGTGACTAAATAATAACCGGAATATAATATACATTTCTAAAGTGAGAAGGGGGCAGCTGTCAAAACTTAAATACCATTACTATCATCATCAATTGAATGAATGTGTCAGGTATGATGATCATCTATGAAAATAAGGATAACCTGAATAAAATTGGTCAATCTGAATTTTTATTTTCCACACTCGAATCATCATCATTGATCATCATCATCATGACACGCACAAAATGTTTTTGTTTATTAACAAAAAAGCAAGCAAGCAAGCTTTGTATGGATTCATTTCAACAACAACAACAGAAAAAAATGAATGATCCGAATCATCATCAAAAAAAAAAACCGAACCCCGAAAAGTGTTGGCTATAATTATATTATGGTTATTATCATTATCATCATTACCATTGTTGTTGTTGTTGTTATTGTTGACACTAATCACATTTTGTTGTTGTTGTTACCATTATCATCATCAGTCCCTTATACAAATGGCAAATTGTTTCATAAACGTTTTTCATCTTACCATTATTTTATCTAATTGACTTTTTTGTGAAAATGTCATTTTGGCATTTTATTTATGATGATAGTATGTGTGTGTGGTGTGGATGACAAAAGACGATTATCTAAATTTTTTGTTTACCTGTAAATGAAATGAATCCCTCAAATAATAATGATTTATGTTTGGCGAACTGTGAAATTTTTTTTTTGAAACTTTTTTATTTCAATCCAAAATTGATTAACACTTACGCACACACACAATGGAAACATTTTTTTAGTTTTTTTATAATAATTTTAATGATTTAAAAATGATGAAATATTTATTTGCAATATCGGAAATGAAACATACTATTTCCGATTATTATTTTGATTTTTCTAAATGTTACCAGAAAAAAAATGGTAATGATAATGATATAAAGTAACTATATTAACAAATATGATAATTTTACAGAAATCCTTGCCAGGGTTTAGTGAAATAATTCATTATTTTTTTAGTCAGAAAATGTCAAATTTTGTCAATCAAAAAAATGAAATAAATATGTTTTGTATCGATGCTAAAAATTGTCAGATTTCAGACTATTTTGAAAGGCATGATCTGTGTTTGTCGATATAGGTGTTGGTGTGTATCGGTGTGTAATATCAAATTATTAGTATTTCCTATATATATTTTTTTGTTTGTTGAGTATCCGGGGTTAATTTTTTTTGAAAGATTACTATTTCTACATTGTAATTTCATAAAGCTGATGCTGTTACGGTAGCTGCTGTTGTTGTTGATGATGGTGTTGATGGTGGTGGTAATGGTGGATTTGTCATCGAATGATGATGATGATGCTGATGATGATGATGTAGTTGATGAAGATGTTGCTGTTGTTGTTGTTGTTGTTGTAAATGTTGAGCATGTTGATGATGTAATGCTGCAACTAATTCCGGTTTTTTTAATAAATTTAGATCGGTTATATTTTCTAGAATGCTTGCCGGTACACCATTCAATTTAGCAGCATCAACATCTTTTTTCAATTCTTCAACATCACGTTTTAATTTGGCTCGTCTATTTTGGAACCTTGGTTAATGAAATGAAACAACAAAAGGGTTAATTTGAGAAAAAAAAACAAAAGGCAAAAAAATTAACACTTTACTAACCATGTAATCACTTGTGCATTAGTTAGACCTAATGATTGAGCAATTTCATCACGATCTGCTGGTGATAGATATTTTTGATATAAGAAACGTTTTTCCAATTCAAATATCTGATGATTTGTAAATGCTGTTCGTGATTTTCTTTTCTTTTTTATCTGTTGTTGACGATTATTGAATAGATTTAGATGATCGGCTGCTGAATCTACAATTTGATTGATTGAAAAGAAAAGAAACGAGAAAAAAAAATTCAATTAGAAATTATCGATCACACAAAATGACAATTGATTTTCATTCATCAGATCAAATTAGATAAATTATCAGGGTGAAGGTTAGGGTGATTGTTTGTTTCGATTTCAATTTTATTCCTATTTCTACACACCTGTATCATTATCATCATCATCAAATGTCAAATGTCAAACATTCTGTATTGTTACCTGTCTAGTCAATTTGATTGAATTTCCAAATAAAAAAAAATTTGATTAAACTAATTAAGTTTAGTTTAGTTTAACTAATGATACAGTTCAATAAGCTCGTTGTTGTTATGTAAGCATCACCATTATTATCCTAGTTATTGTTCAGAACAACAATAGAAATTGTCATTTTGAAAATCTCATCAAATGATGATAAATGTCTTTCTGCTGTCTGTTTGTCTGAATTGAAGTTGAACGAAACAAAGAAAAAAATCAATTTTAATTTCCTTCAACCAGAAGAATTGATTTTATTCCATTGATTGATTGATTGATTTTTCACACTTTTCACGTTTAATAATCATATAAAATTATTTTATTTCATTCACCTACCCCCCCAAAACACACACCCTTGTGTTAATAAAATGATTTTAATTTCATTTTGAAAGTTACAGAATCACTCACTAACTGTCTTTCAAAATAATAAATGATGGTGTTAATGACCAAAACGATGACAATGATAATGATTTTTTCTCTTCAAACGACTGCCTGTCGTCATGATTTGGACAAAAAAAAAAGAGAGAGATAGACAAAGAATAAATAAAAATAAGATTTATATCTATTGTTTGGCGCTTGTGTGTGTGTGTGTGTGTGTGTGTGTGTAAATCTTATTACCAGAGAAAAAATTAAACGAGTTTCCCCAAAATGTTATAATAAATCAAATGAACGATACAGAACAAAACAGAAGAACACATTTAATTGATACAAATGTCTTGTTGTCCCCGGTGTCTAATGTCCGGTGTGTTTGCCAAAGTGTTATTATTTCTATTCTTTTTTCTGTAAATTTAATTAAAAAACGAAAAAAAAATCCAAACAGAATAATGCAGCAGCAAATAATGACCAACATAAATGACCAGGATATAGGTATCATTTCCGAATCATTTTTTTTCTCGTTTTCGTTTGAATTTTTTTTCAAAATAACATCCTTACCATCGCCATCAGTGTTAATCCTTATTGATTAATATATATTGAAGCTGTCATCATCATTGAACAGGGGATTATCATTTTTTTTAGCTACCGGAATTTTTTTCGAAAAAAAAACACTTCTCGATATTAAATCCCATATCAATGATCTTTGATTTTGGTTGATGGTGGATTTCAGAGAGTGTTATCCAATGATTATAAATTCATTTCATTTCATTTTTTCTCGAGAAAATTTCCGAAAATTTTCTGTTCAATAGAAACGAAAAAACATTGCCTTGCCTCTAGTCATTTTGTTCGTTTGTTAAATTAGTTTCTAATTAGCAAAAATTTCTTTCAAGCTAGTTCGGCAAACTTTACTTCGAAACAAAAATATATTTATCAAGAGAAAAAAGCCGCCGACGATCATCATTAACATCGTTTTTCTGATCAATTTTTTTTTGGCCAAATAACAAGCCTGAGGTAAGCTTGTGTTTAAAAAAACTTGAAAACATCGATGATGATGATGATGATGATGATAATCATCATCATTATCACACCGAATTAATCACGATACTAATTATTATTATTATTATTTAAAAGATAATGGTTATTTGTGTTAAAGGTTAGGTTAGATCATTTCTCTCTCTCTCAGGTTAATTATATCCAATTTGGGCTGTTTAGTTGTTTGATGGAATCATTCATTTTGATTTTCCATCGTTGAAAATATGAATATGAATCAGCGTCAGCTTGAAATAACAGATTTTTTCGTGCTAAAACGAAGAAGAAGAAAAAAATCATTTGCCCTGTTCGATAATCAAGTTGTAACCGAAAAGTGGGAAAAATATCATTAAGAATCATCAAATCAAATGATGATCATGTTTAACTAATCATTTTTTGTTTCGTTTTTTTTTCAAAGATAAAAATCTAAATTTGATAATTTACTTTTCTTAATTAACTTTTTATTTTTTCTTAAATTCATGATCATCATGTTTAAATGATGATGCCTTTGAAAAATTTGGCTTTTAAATATCACTATCATTTAATTTCATTTCAAAATCAGTTTGTCAGCCAGTCAATCATTCCAATTCATTGATATTGTTTCTGGTTTTCTGGTGTTTGAAAGTTTTCCAAGAAAACCAAATCAAATCAAATGTTTGAAAATGTTCATATATCACACATATATCAAACCTCGACGGGTGATACCCGATCGTTTATTGTTAGTATATGTAACAATGTGATTAAGAAAATGAAACACTTTTTTCTTGTTTGATTTCACCTAATTTTCTTTGGTTTTTCTTTTATATAAACACAAATTCAATTTGAAAGAATTGAAGTGATGGATAACAAGATCCACATACACACACAGTTGGAATTCATCATCATTGAAAACAAACACACATTTTATTTTGATTCGAGAATTTTGGCATCCAACATGGTTTTAACACTCTGGTTCACTTGATGATATTTAAATCAAAATTTTTTGAAATTTTCTTTTTTTTTTCTGTTGTTGTTGTTGTTATTTAAGGAGATCCTTATTGTTGTTGTTTACATATCAAAATCAAGCATACATTTCATATTCTCATTCTCATTTCCATTCAATTTGATGATTGATTGAATCACCAAAATTGATTGATAATTAATTTTCATCATTATTATAAATAGCCAAATTCATTTGCATTCAAGCAAGATGTATGTAAATGTCAATCATCATCATCATCATCATCGAGCTAAATAATTTCATCCATCAACAATTTTGTTGTTGTTGTTGGTTGTGTGATTAACCATCATCATCATTTTGAATGATGTAATTTTTGATGAACAACAAGACAAATTACCATGAATAAATTGATCATATTACTCTCAGTATAATCAGTGATGGTTACCAGGGGTGAATAGAATCTCTTTTCAAAAAAAAACATTCACCCCACCATCTCCACCCCACCACCACCACTCTTTTCATCAATTTGGGATTCAATTTACAACGTTTGGTTTGGAATCAGAATTTTGTTTGTTTGTTTGTTGTTGTTGTTGTTGCTTCGGCAACAACAATGATTAATTATCATCATTGAACCGAGAAAAAAAAACATTCCCGAGTTTGATTACCCGGGTTGATATTACCCGGGTTATTTTCCAATGAATTTTCTATTCCATTCATGTTTTTGGACTTTGAAAGAAAACAAATTTTGTCAAATGAAACGAATCAGGAATTCTGTTTCTCTTTTCGTTTTACAATCAGATGTTTGTTTGTTTGTTTTTTGTCAAAGATTCGTTTTTCAAAATTTGTTAATGATTGCTTAAACACGTGGAATTTATTCTCGTTTTGTTTGAATTCGGGTTCGTTCGGGTTTGATTTTCGGTTAACACTATAATGACCCCATTTGTTTAGTCGTTAAACAAACATAAAACGAATGAATGAAATGAGGCAAAAAAAAAGTTATTTTGCGCATCATTCACAAATTCTGTAAGGCCCCATAAAGAATATAAAAGTTTCTTTCAAACAGAACGAAACAAATTCTTGAACGTTTCTTTTTTTTACTGCCTTTTTTCCCCCCACTTATACCACTCGACCACCTTTTTTTACCATCATTCACTTTTTCATTCTCTCGATATTCTGTTTCCATCATCATCATCATCATTATCATTCGCACATTCCTTTGTGTGTCGAAATGAATGAATGGAAAAATTATTCAACAAGAAAAACATTTTCCAACGCCAAGCACCACTAACACCACCGCCACCTCATCATCCTCCTCCTCTAATCGAATATTGATTTAATGGAAATACTGTCGTCGGTCGGTTGTTGTTGTTGGTGCCAGGCAAAATGAATGAGAACAAAATGAAACAAGAGAGAGAGAAACGAGAGAAAAAGATTCATTATGTTATCTAATTGGCGTGAAAAAACTAACATTATTTCTTCTTCTTCTTTTCGCACGCTTTTCGTTTCTCACTTTTTGATCGTCAATGATGATGATCATCATGATGATGTTTGAATGAAATATTATTGTTCATTTTGTATTCAGCGATAGAGAAGAAGAAGAAAGAATAAAATTCCTGTTGTTCTTTCAAGTGGATCAAAGTCATTTTTTTTGAGTTTGGGAAATTCTCTATATATAGACGAAAATCACAAGAATGTTACTCTGGTTGGCTGCCCAATTCTCCATTCTCTTCCCTTATATGTTGTTGACTAAACAGGAAAACTGTTCCTGGAACATTCGTTTTTTGCATCATCACAACCAATGATAGATGACATTGTGTTTGTTTGATTCCCAAAAAAAGCTGATTTACAAAATGATTTTTTCTTTTTTAAACTTTATTTTTAAACGTTTGTTGTTTTGTTACATTGAAATTCAAATGTACAACCAAACAAACAAACAAAATGGCTCATCAATAATGTGATCATTTTAGGTTCCAAATGGAATTTCACTGTGTGTTGTTGGCATTCCAAAATGATATAACTTTGCCTGCCTTTTTGTTCAAATTTTAATGATTATATAGTAATGTTGTTAACACGGCGTGCACCAGAAGTGAAAAGAATATCAGGCCAATGTTTTGCATCCCAAAACCAGGATGGAAGATTCAGTTGTGGTGGTATTTGGTAAAAAGGAAGAAAAAAACTGGTAGTGTTTTTTTTTCTGCAGACAAATTATTTATTGAAATGTTTAATTTTTTTTACTTGACTTGACTTGTTTGCTTGTTTTTACAAATTTATTTTGTAAAAAAAAAAATTCTTCAAATTCAACATAAAAGCCATGTAATTTTTCGCTCGGTTTTTTTGTTTTACAAAACAAAAACAACATTATCATTATTATTTAGGCATCATTTACGCATCTCT